AGCCCTGGACAATCAGATTCCTGAGCCTAGAGTGATGGACAGTGACATACTAGTAGATGGAAGCACATTCAAGAGGGAAACGACAGAACGTGAGGTGCTCAGGGGAAACTTGTTGAACACCGCAGCTCTCGACAGCATGATGTCAGAGCGCAAGCTGTTGGAGAGCGATTTGTCAGCGAGCCGAGGATTGGCGAGCAGAATCTTGCAGAGCGATGCGGGAGCCATCTCACCCTCTATTCGCATCGCAGCCTGCGCGACGTCGATATTGACAAAGGACAGCACCGAGTCTCTCCGAGGGTGTTACAATTTTTTCACGCATCCCACGATCATAAGCTTGAGCGTTGTTGTTTTCTTCGTGATCATGATACCCACGTCGTTCACAATCTACCTCGCCATGACAGAGAGTGAACGGAAAGCCATAGAAGGATCGGTGTACAGACCAAGACCGGGGGAGGATTTTCTCCCCGAGATCTATGATCCTGAGTCGGGCTTCCTAGGGAAGATGCAGAAATACATCGTGGTAGCCATCAAGATCGCCCTCTTCATCATCCTCAAACAAGGAACGCTCGAAGGAGGAGTCAAACAACGTTATTCCATGATCGATTCGGGGGAGAGAACGTCGAAAACGAACGGAACACGGTCCGGGAGCTGACGCGGAAAGAAATGGAGGAAGCAAGTTCTTCAGGAGGAGACACTTCTGGGCGCAGAACATCGAAAGACGGAATCGGTAATTTCGGATTTCGAATCCTCAGGGGTAGAGGGTAGATCACGATAGTCGCCTGGGAACAAAGATGGTTTTTTAGCCGTGGTATGAGTAAGACCTCCGGAACCCCCTTTGATAAGATAAGATTGATCATCCACAAGAAAGTGTGGATTTTCGAGAGTCCCAACATTCCGAGTGATATTCCAGTCGTGAAGCTTGATTATATCCTCATCATCATAAACTCTTTTTATTTACACAAAAATGGGGGGTGTATAGCATTTGATATAGGCATGGAGGGGCCTAGAGGTTTCTGAGGTGTCTGGAGACCCTCCAAGCGAAAAAGTTGTTGACTGTGTTGTTTGGAGCGATTTTCTTCGAGGAGTAGGTGACTCCCGACCGCCTCGGGTTGAGGTCAATCCTGAAAAAGGTGTCGACACTTTCAGTCTTGATAAGTTTGAAGAAGAAGCGCATATCGGCCTCGCGATGGAGTGTGGCGATTGCCTTGGGGGCGATCTGCATTGGTTCGACACCACAGCGAGTAGCCACTCTCCTAACGAAGCGTCTCTGCACCGACTCGAGGAGTTCAATGTCGACTAGAGATACGGAGACCAGACTGGGGAACAGTAGAGTAGCCATGAGACAACAAATGCGCGGTAGAGCTCCATGTGGAACTCGGGTCGCCTTGAGATGAATGCTCGGAGGAGGAGGTTGCAGACCGAACTGGTGGACCTCACCAACTCACGATCAGCGACGTGGAGTCGAAATGAGAGAGAGGGATCGACAATGACTCCCAAGTCTTTGACGGATTCCGCCTCTCTGAGAATGTTACCGTTGAGTGTGTTGATGAAGGGATGTGGTCTGGTCTTCAGGACCAGGCGTTTGGGCTCAGACAGGGTCAAGCAGTCCACGATCGCCCACCTGGCGCCCGTCGGCGCAAAGATGCTCGAGGCTTTCTTAGCCAGGTCAGCCGATGCTTTTCCATATAAATGGTGGCAGCAGAGGGTCACTCTTCCGTGACGAAGAAAGCTGCTCGTCCTTGTTCCACGTCGACCTCAGCCGGTTCCAACGAAAAAAGACGGAGAGCAAGGGCCATGGACAGATAACCATACTTGTAAGAATATTCACCGGTCTATTCACATGAGACCTTCACATGCATCGAACCTTCCCGTCCCCCCCGAGAACTCGATTCGGGAAACTCCCGTCTGCGAAACGAAAAGGTGGTTCCTCGAAGTGCTTGGTATTCAGGCAAAGATTGTTCTTTGTCGGATCCTGCAACGAATATTTCAATAAAGCATCATTGCTGCGGTATCAAAGTTCCACGCCCTTGACGGAACTAGCTCGGGTTTGTCTCCATCTGTGCTACTCGTGAAAGATGAGCGGAATGTGTCATATCATTCTATAGCGGGCGACTTCCAGTGTTTCTCGGAGAAGATCTTCCTGTTGATCACACCCATGTGAAGGAGAGACTGCCCAACAACGATAACGGCAAGTCTGATCAATAGATACCTCGGCCTCGTCGGGATGAGATAAGAGGCACAGATACTCGGCACAGAATTTCCGAGGTCGATCTCGGCATCCATCAGGGACAGAGCGGTGGCGTGGAGGAGCCGGCTGACAGTGACATTACGGGATCGTACGAGCTCCGGGGGAGGTTTCGTCCCGGAAACACGCGGATGTCAGCTCATAGATCCCGCTCGATCCCCTCGAGAAGCCCATGAACAAGAATGAGTTCCGAGAAGTCGACCCGCCCTCGTCCCATGAAAATCGCACAATCAAGTCTATCGGGGAGCGGGAACCCGATATCTCAGGGCCTCGGAGTCTAATGGCGCTCCGAGCAAGTCGAGTAAGGTTCGTTCACCTCGATGTCCTGATCGAGCTCGAGCTATGCATGTCCTTCAAAACCTAGTCTGCTCATGTATCATGGATATCCTGGAAGGAGTTTCAGATACAGGCTTCCCGACCCGCGTTGCGGGAAATCTAGCAATCAACCGGTTTCCAGCGTAGCAAATCTGCATGCCCACCTCGCGAGGAGCTCCGCCGAGATGCTACACATGTATGTCTTTTTCGCTCGGGGTCGTCAGGCGGCAGGTTACCGCTATAGATTCTTCTTCCGATTTATCTTTGAAGCGCGCAGCTTCCGAACTGCCCTCTTCAGAGGATTCATTCACACGGGTTCTGTAGACTGATGTCATCCTCTGCGGAGTTCCTCACCCAATCTGAATCTAGGCCGGAAGGTGGGCCACTAGTCTCAAACTGACGTGTGTAATCCTCACAAATTACGATCGCAGCGATCCTACAATGACTCATTAGGGCATCTTGCGCTGGAAGCGATCGGAAATATCTCCGCCATTTTCCATTTTTCCAGGAAGCACATCCCCGCGGATGACGCCAGCATCAGAGGGTTTACTTATATCCCTGGGAATGGGAGACTCACCGCGCCGCGGCCTCGCGGAAACATTCCAAGATCCTCCACAGTGTCGACTCTCGAAGAACGACAGTTTGGAGGGAAATGCTTCTGTCCAACCGACAATCGATTGTAGGCCTCGGAACGGCGTTCTGTGGATCAAATGATGTCGATGCTCCATTATAAGCGGAAAACATCTCCCGAACTCGGACATCTTACTCCGATTCGGCTATGCGTTGACGGAAGAGTTCCAAAGTGAGGCGTTTCTGGAGAAAGAATCCTGAGCTTCCGGCTCATGTCGAACCTGACTCTCAGGCTACGGCGCCCAGCGCGCGATCGTCTCACGTTCCCATTTCCGCTGTCCGAGCTGCGTCGCGCCTCTGTCAAGGGACAGTATTAGGTCAACGAGATACTTCTCTTTGTGACTTTCCCGACTGTTGCGCAATGTCTTGAGATAATCCTGGAATCTGGAATCATTGACTCGAAATCGCGTCCGACAGGCGGATTCTGGGAATCGGGATTTCCAAGGCGCTCCTCCTCTCTCCGCAATAACAACGAAACCTTCCAGCTGGCGGAGAGAGGGGAACACGCAAGAGTCCACGCGATGGAGGCGCTCCTAGCTTTCGACTTCCCCTTATAATGCAATCGGACTGCTGAGCGGTGAACGGAGAGATGGCTAAGCGGAGACGAGCAGAGCGGGAAGCTTGGCAGCGCAAAATATTGAAGCCTTCCAAATTGGAGCGCAGCAAGATCGAGCGTAGAATATTGCTGCGTCGGAGACTGAAGCGTAGACTACTCGAGGGTGACGTTTACGGGAGCCAATACCTAGACGAAGCTGCCCAGAGAAGCGGGAGGGACAGTACCGGCCGGCTGCTCCGATCGTTACGAGCCGCGGCTCATCCCATCTCGTTCGCTCCGCAGCAAAGCAGCGAGAAGCAACGAGGCTGTTTCGAGGTATTGACCAGTCCTACTGTCATGTCTCTGAGCGTAGTCGTATTCATTTTCATAATGATCCCAACAGCAATGACCCTTCATGGACTACTCAGGGGAGAGTCCTTGGATGATGATGATCATGGTGATGATCACGGTGAGTGTTGTATTCCTCCACGTTCCGTATTATTCCTTCATGAAACTGTATCCAACTCTGGAGTCTGCACGAGCTCTAAAGCTAGAGCTCTCAGCGATATCGATGACCGAGAACGCTAATCTGATAGCTCTCTCTCCTCTGGCTGACGAAGATTTTCCGAAATATGGGCCAGGAGAGAAAGAAGAGGTCAAACACGAAGACAAGAGAAACAAGGTCGACACCATCCACTCAATCCTGGATTTTGCTGAGACGATTAAAAGTGCTACGGATGTATTCAAGGGTGCAAAGAAAGCTGTCAAAAGTGCTTTCAAGTCGATAAAAGGCTTCTTCGGCTGATGCATAGCTTCGAGCTCAAGATAAGCAAGGGAGGGAAAAGCGAGACGTTTGTACCGGATTCGATGCGAAGAACTTATGAGGAGCCGCAAAGTATCATGAAATGACCTCAGACAAGCATGGTGATATCGACTGGGGACATCAATCGACTAGCGAGGCTGCCGGCGTCATGGTGCCCAAACTACATTGAACACAACCTCATCTATGTCGATGAGCTTGTCTCGCTCTGCGCTGTGTGCTCGTGCGCTGCAGAGCTGCTGATTACTGAGCCCTCAATGTGTGCACTACAAGAAACAAGGTTTTCGAGAAGCTAGACGTCTTTCTGGGACGCCGATAATTCTTATAGCGATGAGGAAATCTTCCCGATGGGCCGCCCAAACCTGAACCGTACTACGCCGCCCGAGAGAGCTGCTCAGTTGCCCTCCGACACTCAGCAAAGATCATCAGCGTCATCGATCCCATAATATTTTGACATCTTATGTTCTGCTCTGGTTCGACTTTCTCCCGCGTACTCTTCCTTCTATTCCATTTGACGCACAGTAATCGGTCTCCAAATCAATCTCGCAGGCCGGCCGAAAATACGGCTCACAAGCCTGTGAATCTTATTTCAGGGCCTCATATTGATACGGAGATTAGGGCATTCGATACTCTCAAATCTCAGAGTGCTCGGCTAGCTTCAACAGCGGTTTATTAGAATCAGAGAGCTCAGAGGAATCCTTCAGAGTCTTCGAGGCGGGACCATAAACTAGCGCTCGATATGGACGGACCGAGCACTTCGAGCAGGTGAGAGGATATTCGTCTCGTGATGACCGCTCAGTTTGGATCGGACCTGTCGTGGGATGAAGAAACCGGCGCTGCCAGTGAATCTCTGGTCCGATCCGGGATCAACTAATCTGATCCGTCTCCTGGACTCTCCGGCAAGAATTCAGTTCCCCGACGCGGAGGGAGCGGGGTCCGAGTAACGGAGGGTAGACGAGCGACTGTCGACTCACGTATCCATGGAGATTCCATATATTCCGATTTCCGATCATCTGAGCCGCAGAGTCCAAGATTACAGTCGTCAATAGAAGCCTGGGATAATGGAAGATGCAATTATCGTCAGCTCTTCCACAGTTGTTCCGACTCAAAAATATAAGATCATGATTGATCGCATGTCGATCAAGCGTTCTACACGACTCGGAAATATGAGTTAACGATGATATCATAGAACAAAATTCATTGGAATCTTCATTAAGGTAGCAGCTCCGATGATGTGTCCGGTTCTGATCTTGAACTCAGCGGTAAACGAGCCAATGGGCGCATCTTTCTCCGCCCGAGTCTGTGACTTGATAGATCGAGCTGTGGATAAGGAGAGACGCTTTTCTTCCCAGGGAAGAGCTGAGAAGCCTACTGGCCCCGTTGTACAATGCTCCATGGCCCTTGGAGGAAACGAAATCGCAAAGAGCAAGAGAACTATTTGCACAGTTCTTCGATAAAGCCTTGGACGACATATTGAAGGTTCGTAGGCTTCCTAGAACGAACAATCTCAATTATCTTCGGAAACTCCGAACAATCTACCACGGCTCCTAAGATCATGGCAGACCAGTCTTGACCAGACTTGTCTTGCAGGATCGAGAGGACAACAACTATCAACTGGAGGATTCTCTGATGAAACAAGGTATCGACGATTTCCGACATAGATGGGAACGCTCCTCATAATCACCTTAGCACGCATCCATCCCCAAATCGCCCAGCAGAGAAGAGGACGCATTATTGACGAAGATTGCTATCTATTTCCAGTTGCTCTCCAAATGGAAAAAGTCCTGTCTACGCTGAAACTCTCATCGGATATCGACGAAAAAACGGCCCAGAGCGACGGATCCGGAGTCTCAGAGGGGCATGAATGAGATCGGATTCAACCACGGGAGCTGTTCTCCACGCTGTGCGTCGAGCAGTGAGCGCACAAAAATTCCCGGGAAACTTCGAGAGAGACTTGAATGCTAGACAGGCCCGCTGATCGGAACAGCCGAGCACGAGCGTTACCGCAACTATCATAAGACATCGCTCGGATCCTACTGGGACGTAACGTATTTTAACCTGTGAAAAAATACGCCTTCCCCGGGCAAACGTCCTTACAATAAACACTCTACGATCGGCACTCAGTTCGCCGCAGGAATGAAATACCTTTCGTGCATGGGAGCCTTTTCCCTCAGAAGAATCCATTGCAAGGTTGTCTCCAGAGAGTATCGAGAGGTCGATGCTCCTCCAAGCAGGATATGCGATCCGGCCATGACACCGAGGAGATGGTCGAATCATTCCGAGCGTTCTCCACTCCCGAGGGCTCATGTTGGGAGATTCTGAGACGAGTCCCGAGTCCCGATATACAGGGCCGCCGTTATTCTGTTTTTTTTCTTCCTGATGAGCAACAACGATTCTCGGATTTCGACTATTCCTCGTGGAATCTCAATGAGCTGACCGGTCATGAGTTTCATTTATTATGATGTGCCGAATCAGTATGTCGTTTGTGGACCAGACTTCGAGCCGGATACTCGGGGTCTGGCCCCGGCCATGAATATGTACCCCGAATATCCTTACCCCAATGTTGCAGTCGCAAGTTATCCTTCTCTGTCAGCGCCATCATCCTTCCCCGTGCCTGCCCGCAACGTGTACCAACCCATGCCCGGCGCCGGGCCCGTAGCCGCAGATCAGTATGCATTCTCCTTCGAGCCGCAGGGAGAGCACCAAACACCCTATTGGCAATACGCCTATAACCCCAATCCGCCTCATCAGCCGTTCACGATTTCTATATCTCGTCTACAAGGACAGCGAACTCAGTCCCCATGGGTACAGCCCCGGGGCCCTGGGGCTGTGCAAGCCCCTCAACACCCTGTGGCGAGCAGACAAGGCGAGGCCGATTCAATATCTCCTCGGCCGCCTAATGGGTCGCATCAAGGAACTTCTTTTCCCGCGGAAAACCCGCCCCTTTCCCCCGCCTTGACATCGGGATCGCTTCCGCAAGGTGGTCCTAAGACACAGTTTTCCAGGCTTGGGACTTCGAGGCGGATGTCGGCGCGGGTATTTCCTGCGCTTTTTCGACCGCAATCCGGCGGTCCGCCGGCTCAATACCCCTCAAAGTCGACGGCGGCGCACTCGCGGCCTCCGGCTATGTCTAAGCGACCTCTGGTCCCCGCTTCGGTTCTGTTCCGAGTTATGCCAGGATCCATGCCTGAGGCGGGAGCGCCGAATGCCCCTGTTTTCGAACCTCAAGAGATTCGACCGGAAGCTCCGTGGCAGGATGCGTTCCTGCTCGAAGAGCAGCCGCAGCCTCGGAACGCTGAAGCTCACGACACCGTGAATTCGCCCCCCTTTGAGGGAATCGCACCGTATAAATTCCCCGCGACGGGATTCGATCGGAGAGAAGCAGCTCCGATGGACACACCGATGGCCCGATTGTCAAGAGCTGTTCAAAAGCCACAACCTGGAACCTGGCGGCCTGAAATCACCCTTCAACCCGAGCCCTTCTCCCAAATATCGCCGTGTCCTGGAGCTCCAGGAACCGATCGGACGAAGCGAGAAACTCTACCTCATATCCCCTCCACACCGGAGACGACCATCCCGGAACTCGGGCCGGAGGCATCCCAGACTCCCTCAGCAGGAGCTCAAGAGCCCCTCGAGTTGCAAGCACCCCCGCCTGCACTATATATAGCACCCGTCAGCAAACCATATGCCGAATTTTTTCCGCCCAACGATGCAGTGATGCAACACGCTGAACCTGGTGCGCAAGAATCATGCCAAGAAACGCTGCCGGGAATCGCGCGACCAGTAGACGGAGTTCCTCCTGAAACAGGTCGCGCCCAGGCCTCCGAGGGTCAGCCTCCTCCAAATGGTGGAGAGTTCCGAGAAATACAGCCAGGGTCTTCCATATCGTCGCACGGTGTCTCTCCTGATGCCTCCTCGACTCACGTTGTACTACCGCAAAGTGAAGTTCAGATTGTTTATCCTGAACCAATCGGATCGGGACCGTACCAAGAGATACAGCTCGAGATCCCTCAGCCAGAACAGAATCTTCCATCTGCCAACTGTCGCGCGACGGAGGCATTTCCGGGAAGTCAAATACGTATAGAATTTCCCCAGTCTCCCGTCGCAGAAGCTTACAACGAGGTACAGCTCGGAATTCCCCTCCCGATACAGGGCTCCCCTCCTGTTGCCTATCCAGTGCAGGGAGATCCCCCGCTGGGCGAGGAACACATGGTATTTCCTCAGCCGTCTACCACGGACGCCTTCCAGAATATACAGCTCGAAGTGCCTCAACCAGCACAGAATCTTCCTCTCGACGCCCATCCAATATTTGGGGAAACTCCACAACGTCCATCGGAGGCGTGCCTCCAGGCTCCTCTGGCAGAGACGGATACGGAGAGGCGGGTCGAATTCACTCAACCTGTACAGGACTTCCCTCCCGTCGACTACCGGACCCGAGAGCCGCCAACGCATGGTGAGCTACAAAACCTGTTTCTCCAGCCTGTCGAGGGAGGCCCTAACCGGAAACCACAGCTTGACCTCGCTCAAACGGTGGAGGATGTCCCTCCTGTCGCCTATTCCACACTAGGAGAAAACCCGCAGAATTCTGGAACGGATCAAGCGATGCTGCCCGTGATCCCCCAGCCAGTAGAGGACGCTCCTCCTGACGACTACTATGCAACAGCGGTGCTTCCGCAGGTTGAAGTTGTGGGGGCGTGTGCTCCGATTCCCGCCGAAGAACCCTACCAAGCGATGCAGCTCGGAATCCCCACGGCGGTCCAGGACGTCGCACCCGTCGACGATGACACACAACGGGCGCTACCGCAGGGTGAAGCACAGACGGAATATCGCGAGCCTCCAATATCAGGAGCTCACCGTGCGGTCCCACAACCGGTCCAGGACGCTCCCTTTGTCGCCTATCCGGTACAAGAAGGGACGTCGCCCGGTGAAATACAAATAGCATATCCTCAACCCGATGTTTCAGACGTCGATCGAGGTAGACCGAATCGTCTGTCTGTCGAAGACCCCGCCCCTATATTCTTCCCCAGATTGCCCACCCATCATCAGGCTTGGACACCCGAACCATCGCCTTGGTATGACACGCCAGGCGAAAATCGGCCTGTCTTGCAACAATCGGCTCTGCCCGTTCAGCAACCTCTCCCTATCACGTATTCAGAGATACCTCAAATTGAGCCCGAGATACCCCCGCCCTGGCCTCGCGCCCTCGAAGCAGCGAAATCCGAAGAGTTGCCGATTTTCCCCGAACCAACAACACCTCAGGAGGATCCTCAAACACTTGACAAGGGCATCGAGCAGCTCGGAGAAGCGGAGGATCTTCCGGCTGAAGGAGCTCCTCCTCCTCCCCCTCCTCCCCAAGGACCGGAGGAGAGACTTTCACCAGTCGCAACGGAATATCAAGCGGGAACAGAGCCCCCTCCGGAGACAGCGACGCCAGCAGGGATGCCGATTCCGACGTCGACTCTAGCAGGAGCGATTTCACAAGGACCGCGTCAGATCTTCTTACCCCCTGGAATTCCCGTACGGTCACCTCCGCAGGCGGAACAGAAACTCCGACTCAGTGCCATCGCATCACCTTTCCCGATTCCTGCCTCAGCTGGAGTGCGTTTACGTTCGGGGTTTTCCGCCACGGCAACGTCTACAACCGACGATAATGCGTCCATCGCGGAATTCGTCGCTCTCCCCGCAGGGCAGATCTCTCCCATGAAGGGCCTGAAGGTTCTCGTTCCTGCAGCGCTTCTGGCTGCTAGAACAGGCACACGAGCCGAATCCGGGGCAAAATCAGTGTCCGCACTCAAGCCGGAAGAGAAATTCTATTATCCTCTACGAATTCTCGTCCGCGCCGAGATTTCTGCCACGAAGCCGCCATTTTCGCCTCCGTGTAAGAAGAGAAATTTCACAGCGGCTGCCTCACCCTCGCGAGTGGGGCCACGACAAATACTGGTGCCTCCCGGGCTCCCTATCAGAAATCTTCCGCCGATGAACCCCGATGAGAATTCCGGACGAATCTCTGAGCCATTCGCAGAGTTACTGGCTCGATACCGACAGTCACATTTTTCCATCGAAGAGATGCTTGCCGCGAAGGCCGCCAAAAACGATCGGGACGCTTTGCCCCGTACAGGCGCAGCAAAGCATATCAGAGGTTCCCTATCCATCGAATAGTAAAATGTTGAGATGCGAGGTTCTGAGCCTGCACTTGAGCCACCACATCCTCGGGGCTCGAGACCGTCACCCCTAGCCAGCAGGTCACGCTATTCGAGACGGAATACTGGATTCGATCCATTCAAGGGGCAACATTTTGACATCCCGGAGCTGATTTCCCGCGATCCAATTCAGAATCTACTCCGGCAACGTTGTGATTATTGCTGAACTTCAATTAAACGTACCTACTGACTTGCGGGATCGACAGTTCATCAAGTGAATTTTCCTAACGCGTGTCAGGATGTGGTGCGAGCTCATTTGATTCGATAAGTGACGCCCCGGAAGCCGAACCCCGCTCTAGTTTCCCCTTTTTGAGAGCGAATGTCTGATTCCTCGGCGAGAAACTGTATCCTAGCTTGTCCGAAGATTCGGTTCCCATCGACGGAATGGCTTGCACAATTGAATCCCGGTGACTGCGGCGCGGCGTCTATACAGATCCACTCCGATTCCATCAAATCATGTACTCTCTCACCTCTCTCACCGGAGGAGCGATCCAGCCAAAGGAAGGGCTCACCGTAGGAAAGCTTCAAAGCGGGACGAACCTTCGGAGCAGAAGGATATCCTCCGCATTGCTGAAGAACTCGGGGAGCTTTGGGCAATAAATAGGGCATCGGGCGTTCCTCCGTTCCAATTGTACAGAATGGCAGCAAAATAACGAAGCGTTGTACAGAGAGAAAAAAAGAGTTTATTGGAGGGGCTGCTTGGGCTTATATAAGATATTCTGAGCATGCGCAATGGTTCACGTATCACACAGTACCAAAGAGGGAAATCTCAACACTCCCACTCGTGAACATGCCTTCACCTAAGTCCCACAAGTTTTCTTTGCTCCGTGAACTTGGGAGAGGTCAGCACCTTCGTCAGAAAGTCTGCCAACTGGAGCCTTGAGCAAACAATGAGCAATCTTGATCTCGCCCGTTCGTACATTTCTCTGACGTAATGAAATTTGTATGTCGATGTGCTTACTCCTTTCATGGTGAACTGGGTTCGTGACCAGTAGCTGAGCCGCGGCGTTATCCATATGCAATACGGTAGACTCAGTTTGACAGAAACTCAGATCCTTGAGTAGACCGCGGAGCCACACGATCTCCCTCGAGCACGCATGGGCGGCGACATACTCCGAGTAAGTCGTGGAGTCTGTGACAATGGTCTGCTTCCGAGACTTCCAAGAGACTAGACCACCGTTCATCAAGACAACAGAAACCACTAATAGATTTTCGCGATTCCATGTCAGAGGCCAACTGGCGTCGCTATAGGCAACCAAGGTATTCATCATCTCAGCCGGCGAATAAGTTATCCCAAGACTCTGAGTATTCTTCAAATACCTCAATACTCTTTTTGCACAGAGCCAGTGGTCTTTCGATGGGTTCTCTAGAAATTGAGACAACTGATTCACAGTGAAAGTAATATCCGCTCGCGTTCCCACGGACGCATACATGAGACAACCCACAAGCTGACGATAAGGGACGTCATGAGGGCTCAATGGATTTCCATCACCATCGAGATTCTTCCGGAAACTCTCATCCGCTCGATGGGGTGAATCAGCACCATTACACTCCGACATGTTGAATTTTTCCAGCATCTTCCTGATGTAACCTCCTTGATGAATCTTCAAGGTTCGCTTCGACCTGTCACGAACGATTTCTAGACCGACATAACACCTTATTTCATGTGAGGTGAGCTTGAAGAAATCCTTGAGAGATGACAGGAAGTCATTGATGACTTTGATTGACCGACCAATACACAATCCGTCGTCCACATAGAGAGCAAAATACATATTGTCACTCTCTCGCACGAAAACACAAGGGTCGTGAGGGCATCGACGAAACTTCAGCTTATGTAGGACCGAGCTTATCTTCTTGTGCCATTGAAGTGGAGCCTGGCGCAACCCATAGAGAGATCTCTGTAGTTTACACACTCTTCCGCTTCCGTCTTGGTAACCCTCTGGCTGAACCATAAAGATCTCTTCATCGAGGTCTCCATACAGGAACGCAGTGGTGACGTCACACTGCATGATCTCGAGATCATTA